GTTTGAGCCACAGAGCCACTTCTGGCTTTTTCTGCTTATGTGGTGCTGAGGAATCGAACCCAGGGCCTCATGCATGCAAGGCAAGCACTCTACCACTGAGCCAACTTTCTAGCCTCCCTGTTGGCTCTTTTTCAAAATATATCCAGAATTCATTTCTCATGACTACAACCATTACTATACTAGTCCAAGTCATTGTGCTTACCTACAATATTGCTGTAACTCCATAAGCCTGCCATATTTTTTTGGGGGGGGTCCGGTCGTGGGACCTGAACTCTGGACCTGGGCGCTGTCCTTCAGCTCTTCAGCTCAAGGCTAGCACTCTACCACTTGAGCCACAGTGCCACTTCCAGCTTTTTTCTTTTTTTTTTTTTTTTTGCTTATGTGGTGCTGAGGAATCAAACTCAGGGCCTCATGCATGAAAGGCAAGTGCTCTACCACTGAGCCACCTTCCCAGCCCCGCCATTTTTTTTTTAACACCACAGCCTAATAACCAATATTGCCCATGTTACTCTAATAAAAATTCTCCAAGGTCTTCTCGTCTTCAGAATAAAACCCAGAATTCATCTACTGCTCTAATCATGTTTCTGTTCTCTTTGAACTCAGCTTACAACCCCTTGCTGCCTGTGCTTATTCTGTCATTGCATCTCTTTACTCTGCCTTAAAATATCACACACACACACACACACACACACACACACACACACACACACACACACACACACAGTTGTGTAGCTCTCCTTTACCAGAAAGCAAGCTTCATTTGAGCAGAGACTGACTTTGATGTATGTACCCCTCAGTGTCTAGGAGAGTGCCTATTAATAGAGGTTCTCAAAAAGTATTGGTAGTTGTTTGAACAGTAAAAAAAGAATGAATGCAGGACTTGTATGAGGATACTACAGTAGAGAAATAAAAAAGAAATGGCAGGCGATGAACATTTGCCAGAAAAACACTGCCTCGACATATTTCAACAATATGAAACAGTTTATAACTCTAATATTATAATGAAAATTTAGTTTCTATAAAGAAGATAGGCTGAAATGTGAGCAGGAAGAGAACTCAAAAATTGAAATATAAAAAGTGAAAATTAAATCGGAATGATAGAATGTACAATACTGAATCACAAGGGAAGAGAATAAAAATGACAAAAATGAAATGACATGGAGGTAGGAGATGAAATGTGTGCAAATGGAGTTCCTGAAAGAGAAAAGCTCTATTTTACAAATGAAAGCATTGAGACATCTTGCTCATATGAAAAAACATAATCAATAGGTTTTAGAAACCTCATCCAGTCCTCTAACTCTTAAAATTAGCCCCAAACTCTGTGATCTCCCATCGAAATTCATTCGTTGGGGATATCACTGCAAACTATCTCTACTACTCTTTCCTATTGCCATAACAGAATGCTACAGGCTTCATAATTTATAAAGAAAAGAGGGCTGAGTGTGTAGGTTAGTAAAACACTTGGCTAGCATGTGTGAAGCCCTGGGTTCAATCCCTAGCACAAAAATAAAAATAAAAAAATAAAAAAAATAAAAATTAAGCCGGATATACTATAGAGGGTGTTCTTTGAATGCTAGGCAACATAGTTAAGACTTCATTTAAGAAATAAAAAGTTTAGGACCCTGTTATAGCCCAGTGGTAGAAAATGTACTAGCATTCTTAAGGCCCTAGTTTTGATTACTAACAACTCCTCTCCCCTCCCAAAAAAGTTATTCTGAGGCTGAGATATCTACGAACCCAATGTCAGTAGCTAATGAGGGCCTCTTGTGATATCATCCATAGTAGAGCGGAAGGGTTGAAAGCACAAGGGGTTGAACTTGCTTTGTAACCACCTGCTCGAGGTGACTTTCCACAGCAGCCTTCAACCATTTATGAACAAGGCCCTTATGACTTCATCACCTCTTCAGAACCCCACATTTTAATACTGCTGCATTGTCAATTAAATCTCATGTAGGACTGGGGACGTAGTCAGTAATGAGTGCCTTCTTAGCGTAAGGTCCTGCGTTCAATCTCCAGCATAAAAAACCAAAAAACTGTAACTTCTGCTCAGTACATTTATATAGCACCATTCGAATTGCTAAAGGAGACACTTCACCATAAATGTCACAAAACTCCATTTGGAGCCTTTAGACTATTCAACAAGTGGGTTATGAGGTGGCTGAAAAGAAATTGCTTCTGTGGGGAAAAGGCTCTGAATGGTGTTTTAAGGGAGCTCACTTTAGGACAAAGTACTGGAATGTACTGGAATGGGCAGTTTTCTGTTGAATCCCTTTACTGTAGAATCTTGTCTAATTGAAGTTGGAAAGCTACTGAATTATAGCAAGTACTGCTAACGAGGAAAAGAGAACTAAAAATGACTTGTTTTTTTGAAGACTAATTTCATTAGTTTTTCAGTAAGCTGTCAAGGGTGGATAGATAGAAGCCTTGTTGGAGTGGACTGAGGGATGGGTGCAGGGGAAGGAGAGACAAGTTACTAAATGTGGGGACAGATGTGGAGGTTACAGCTGAAGTAAGTGTTGCCGTGGTGGAATTGAAGAGACATAAAATACCCAAACACAGGCTGGCAGAAAAGGTTCAGTAGATTCAGGTTGAAGATTCAAAATATAATCAAAAGCACTAGGTTCATAAGGTACAAAGGATTGTTACATTTATTAACTGCTTATCATCTCTGTGCTGCTTTTTTACCCATGTTATCTAATTCTCAGGATAATTATACAAGGTGGTTACTGCATTTTGTTGAAAAAGAACACCCAGAGGTCAAATGTTCCTTGTCATATAGTTTATTATCAAGATGGTAGAGCTGGGATATGACCTACAGCTCTTACCCATGTTTGTGGAAGTTCAGGGTATTTGAGGGTCTGTTTCATATTAGATAGAAAGCAGATTTTAAGTATGAAAGAAAAAAAAGGGGTTATGTTTCAGGATACAACTTTTTAAAACTCTTTAAGAATGGGAGAAGCAGCTGAATGCCATGGGCTCATGCTTGGCTTGAAATCCTAGTTACTCAGGAGTCTGAGAATCAGTTCAGCCTGGGCTGAGCAATCCAAGATTCTTATCAATTAACAAGCAAAAGCCAGAACTGGAAGTGTGGCTCAAGTGGTAAAGTGCCAGCCTTGAGCAAAAAAAGGTAAGCAAAGACACCAGACAACCTCTGGTACTGAAGGGGAAAAAAATGAGGAGTTGGAGAAAATGAGATCAGTTGACTTCAACTTTTACTGATTTATACACTTGTTAATAATTTTCCACACATAGTATGTAAGGGGTGATATTCCTGGGAATGGAACTTACCTGGAAGCTATGACACAGGACTTAATAGAGCAATTAAAGATCTAGATGGCTACATTGTAAATGTACAAACAAGACTGACAGGACTTGAAAGAACAGAACTGTACTCAGTCTCACCGGAAATGAGACTTTATAACTAAGTGGCTTTAGAGCAGATAGTCTTTGGACTATTCAAAGCACACAGAATGTAGATGTAAATCAGAAACCAAGTAATGAACTATGCCTGTGTCCTTGAAGCCCTGTGCCTGTGGCTCAAGCCTATAATCCTAGCTACTACTTGGGAGGCTGAGAATTGAAGGAACTTTACTGCTGTGGTGGCTAGGTTTACAGAACTCCTTCATGTATAGCTAGCAACAAAGGGCACAATGTGGATGTTTTGAAACTGCAATTGTGGGCTAGCCTAGGCAAAAAAAAAGTCTGAGACTGCTGCTATATGCAGTGATACACACTTGTCATCCTAGGAATGCTGGGAAGCCTCAAACAGGTGCATCATGCATGTATACATATACATATATGTGTATACACACGCGTACATATTGAACATGGCAGAACAAATCTTTTAATGTTTTTGTATATGCATATGCTAAGAAAAATCCCCAATGTTCACTTAAGATAGCCATGATGTTTAGTGTGGTGTTAGCATACCAAGCCACAGGGACCAACAAACAAATTTATCTCAACTCTGAATTTTTTTTGTTCAATATACGAATTGAAATTAGAATTTTTCTATTAGAAGAGGAAAAAAATTCCTGGAGTATAGTTATTTGGAAGGTACTTCTATTTACATATCAGAACCAATGAATGAAATGATGAAAATACAGTTTTAAAAACTTAATGCTGTCTTCCCTTTGCAACTTGGTCCTTTTTTTCTACTTACTTTTTTTTTTTTTGCCCGTTGTGGGGCTTGAACTCTGGGCCTGGGCGTTGTCCCTCAGCTCTTCAGCTCAAGGCTAGTACTCTACCACTTGAGCCACAGTGCCACTCCTGATTTTCTGGTGGTGTATGGGAGCTAAGTCTCACAGACTTTCCTGCCCCAGCTGGCTTTGAGCCATGAATCTCAGATCTCAGCCTCCTGAGTAGCTAGGATTACAGGTGTGAGCCACTGGTGCCCAGCTTTAATTATAATGTGCAGTCCCACAAGCAAGATATTTGAAAATTAATGGTAAAATGTTTGAACTGAATAAAGCCAAACTTCTTTAAACCAAGTATATGTTAAATGTTACATATTAACTGTCTACCATCCAGACTTGATGTTTTAATATAGATAGGTCAACACCTATATTAAAACAATATAAGAAATGACCCCTGAGGGGAGTCTGACATATGTAAAAATACTCCAAAATATAGTTTATAAACAGAAACAATTGCTCTAGTGCCTGTACTCCTCTAATTATAAATTTCAAGATACAGGCTTTTTAAAAAGTCCACACATCAAATATATACCGTATAGTAATTCAGCTCACAAAACAGGTTTGACTCACATTCTTAAGATTTTGAAAACAATATTCAAAGATTCTTTGACTAAACTCAGTCCATTTGTATGACTCTACTGAACAAATGAACTATACAACAGTAAGATGAGTAGCAATAAAATTATAAATACTTTTAGTAATTAGATAAAATAACAGCACTGGTATTAAATTTCTTTTTCAGTTTCTTATTGATAGGCCTGTTCCTCATTTTCAAATAATGAGGATAAAGTTATCACAACAAAATATGGGAAACTGCTTTCTCTTTATTTAGACCTTGTAAGGAGAAAGAAAGGAACTTTGGTCACATATTACCTTTAAAAAAAATCCAGTTTTACATATTTCTATAGTCAGGACTAAATGATCACAGAAATAATTTCTTCTGTAAAAACCGGTCAAATTTTATCAAAAATCTAACATACAATGTAATCCAAAGCATATAAAGATGTTTTGGGGGTTCCTGACATTGACAGTTGTGATTCCATCCTAACAGGTGTTAATGTTCATGCTCCCATGTTGCTTTGGTCCAAAAGAGAAGAGCTGAATCAGTAAAACTAAGTATGTAATATTTTGCCAATAATAATTTACAGACTGTGATCAGCAGCAGAAATATTCATAAGGAACAGTTCTACTTTAACAAATTAAGGGAGTATTTTTCATAAACGTCACAGTATCAAATTTTATGAGAAAAATAAGAAGGAACAAACAAACAAAAGGTGAAATAGCTACCAAACAAAATTCTCTCCCCCAGTACCCAATACTGCATCTGAAGGGGTAAAAAAGGTGAGATTAGAGGGGTGATGATGCTAATATGAAAAGAAGTTGAGTACTGTATTTATTTAATTTTATACAACTCTTACCCTTTACAAAAATGGTTATAGTCATGCTCATAAAAGTGTAACCCATGACATTTGAAAGCAAACACTCTTTGTAATTATTTAAAAGGGCCTTTTTAAAAATTATAATACAAAGGTCTGTGCTCTATAAGCAGTCCTCCACTGTGCATTATAACAATAAGGCTTACTTTTAATACAAAGACTTAAGTATTTTGGAGTTATGAACCACTAGATTTAACAAACATCATTTTGTAATTGCTTTTTGCATCTTTCTTGTTTTTCGGATCTTCCACTTCATTGGGGTGTTCAGCAGCTTGAAGTTCTTCAGCAGATTCTTCTTTCTCTGACTCTGAATCACTATCTGAGTCATCAGGACTTTCAGGATCAGGTGAATCATCATCATCATCATCATCATCTCCAGCCACATCACCTTCTCCATCATGATCTTCTACCTAAAACATCAATAGGTGCTTTTAAAACAAAAAATTAGCCAGTTCAAAGGCTGGGAATGATTCCAGTTTTTATCTAATCTTAAAATCAGCCAACTTCATAACCATTAGATCAATATTTTTTTTTTGGGGGGTCCGGTTGTGGGGCCTAAACTCTTGGCCTGGGCGCTGTCCCTCAGCTCTTCAGCTCAAGGCTAGCACTCTACCACTTGAGCCACAGCGCCACTTCTGGCTTTTTTTTTCTGCTTATGTGTTGCTGAGTAATCGAACCCAGGGCCTTAAGCATGCAAGGCGAGTGCTCTACCACTGAGCCACCGTCCCAGCCCCTAGATCAATATTTTTAAAACTATATTATGATCTGTGACTGATGAGGCAAGAACTGATGACTAAGGAAGCAATCATTGCCACAGATTTTATGGGTTTTTGTTTTTTTGTTGTCGGTTGTGGGGCTTGAACTCTGGGCCTGGGCACTGTCCCTTGACTCTTCAGCTCAAGGTGAGCACTCTAGCACGGAAGCCACAGCACCACTTCCGGTTTTCTGAGTGGCTTACTGGAGATAAGAATATTGTGGAGTTTCCTGCCAGGGCTGGCTTTGCAACTGGATACTCAGATCTCAGCCTCCTGAGTAGCTAGGATTACAGGCGTGAGCTACAGATACCTAGCAAGAAAAGGCTTTGAAGGCCAACTAACTAGTGTAGCAACAGTTTCATATTAATTCATAATACAAAATAAGATCACTTAGGAAAGACCTCTCCTGAAGCAAAAATTTTAAACTTACATAAAGTATTTTATCTAATACTTGTAGGTAAGACAACAACTTGTAAGGATGGTATTCATAAAGAATATATCCTAAGCCAGGCGCTGGTGGCTCAAGCCTGTAATCCTAGTTACTCAGGAGGCTGAGATCTGAGGATCCTGGTTCAAAGCCAGCCCGGGCAGGAGAGACCGTGAGACTCCTATCTCCAATAAAACCACCAGAAAACCGGAAGTGGCGCTGTAGCTCAAGTGGTAGAGCGCTCGCCTTGAGCTGAAGAGCTGAGGGACAGCCCAAGCCCAGAGTTCAAGCCCCACGACCGACCAAAAAAAAAAAAAAATCCTAATGATTAAGCAGAATTTAAACCCATAAAAAAATCTTTTCTGATTACCTAGAGATCTAGATGGACAATAAAAATACATTAAGTATCTGCACAAAGACAGTTTTCTAAGTCAAGATTCTTAACTGTTAGGGTAATCTAACAGAAACAAATGATATGAAACTGAAAATGATTATCTTCCCAATCAATGAAAACAAGTTAATTACTACCTCACTGAAGCCAAGACCACAATGTCGTCGGTATCTTCCTGATAATTTACTGTCCATACTTTGCTGATACTGAGACTCCAGTTCTTCATTAATTTTCTTGTCTTCTTCCCCTGCATGTCCATTGTACTTTGGTTATGTTTCAGTCAAATTAATAAAAACATATGATTACACAAAAAACCCATAATACAGATGGGGTATTATATTAAGGGTTGAATTATCTAATTGTGACTAATGAATTTTTATGAATGACATACCATAAAAGGTTACTAATAAACAATAAATATAGTTATCATTACTTCTTTAGAACCTACTCCTGAGTTACCAAAATGTTTAATATTATTCCAAAAACTTTCTCCAAAAACTTTTACCTAAAAAACCATCAGTGAACCAGGATCATCTGTTTTTGAATAAAAACAGTGAAAAGGTTGACAATTCTGTTCAGAAGGTGACCTTGTAATGGCTCTCCTTTATGACTGTTTTTCCTTATCAGCTAGTTGAAACAACATAAACTTTAACATACTTCATTAAGCAGAATATCCTAAATGTTGACCTATAACCTTACCACTCAAGAGCTATGTTAATATAACTGAGGATTTCTGTGCTTGACATTTTAATTTATGGATATAAAGACAAGTGAATTCCAATTTTAATACAAATGATGGTTCTTTAACTTTAATTCACATAACTCCCCATTTTAGGGAAAAATGCAGCAGTTAAAATATTTTTCTATTGTAATAATTCTGTTTTATCTAACAATGCATATCATTGTGAAGTAACATGCACAAAATAAAGACATTAAATTCTAAAATATTCTCAGTCATTATAACATTAGGTAATTTAATTGAAATTTTGTTAAGTTAAATCTAGGTCAGCATCTATAATTATTAAAACTTATCCAAGATTAGGGCTTTTTTTTTGCCAGTCCTGTGGCTTCAACTCTGGGGTCTGGGCACTATCCTTGAGCTCCTTTTTGCTCAAGGCTACCACTTCAGCCACAGTGCCACTTCTGGCTTTTTCTGTGATTAATTGGACTTTCATGTCTGAGCTGGCTTCAAACTGCAGTTCTCAGATCTGAGCCTCCTGAGTAGCCATGACTATAGATAGGCATTGAGTCAGTGGCACCTGGCTAAATGGCTAACTTTAACAGGTGAAAATTTCACCTTCTAGGAGACTGAATATAAATCAAATTCATTTTCAATTTTTGATTTTGGTGGTAGTGGAATTTTGCACTGAAGGCTTCAAGCTTGCTAGGCATGCATTCTACTTAAGTCTAGGCTCAGCCCTTTTGCTTTGGTTATTTTTGAGACAGGGATCTCACTTTTTGCTGAGGCTGGCTTGGATACTTTTTTTTTTTTCTGCGGGGGGGTCCAGTTGTGGGGTCTGAACTCGGGCTGGGCGCTGTCCCTCAGCTCTTCAGCTCAAGGCTAGCACTCTACCACTTGAGCCACGGCACCACTTCCGGCTTTTTCTTTTTGCTTATGTGGTACTGAGGAATTGAACCCAGGGCCTCATGCATGCAAGGCAAGCGCTCTACCACTGAGCCACCTTCCCAGCCCCGACAGATACTTTCCTAATTATGTTCTCCACAATAGATGACAGGCTAGGACTGCAGTTATGAGCCAATAGTACAGGGCTTCAGTGTTTTTTTTTTTTTTGTGTTATTCATGGGGCTTGAACCTAGGGCCTGGGTGCTGTTCCTGAGCTCTTTCACTCAAGACTAGCACTCTACCACTTTGAGCCACAGCTCTACTTCCGGTTTTCTAGTGGTTAATTGGAGATGAGTCTCATGGACTTTCATGCCTGGGTCAGCTTTGAACCTTGATCCTCAGATCCTGAGTAGACTCCCCAGTAGCTAGGATTACAGGAGCGAACCACCAGAGCCCTGCTTTTCAGTTTTAAAGACTTTTTCCCTATGTAAGTAGGCATATGTAGGTATTGTGTATATAGGCATATATAGGCAAGCATTTTACAGCTTTCCCAGCCTCAATTTTTTTAAAAAAGTTTATTTCTTCAGGCTCTGTAAGTTTATATTTTTCTAAGATTTTAGAAGAAGAACTGGTGAGTAAAATTAAAGCCTGTATAACATACTAATATATCAAATAATTTACATAAAGGAAAAAATTTGATATATTTATCAACATTGCCAAGAAAAGGTATAAACTCTCATTACAATTAACATGTATATTCTGAGTCACTAAGAATAAAGACAGAAACAGCTTAGTTTCTTTGGTGGAATATCATATTGAGATATCGATCTTCTGTTGTCTTTTAAAATCAAAACAACATTTAATACTTTATGACACATGCAACATTTTTACACATAATGCTCTCATATACATCCAATATTATTTTAATATATATTATTATATAATATATATTTTAATATATATTATTATTTTAATATATATAAAATGATATCCCAAAATGTGCAAGTATCATTTATACCAAATTTACTGTTGGTTTTATAACCAATGAAGTATTCATGTTGGTTCCATTTGAATTGTATTTACTTACCTGTTCGGAAGTGAGATGTTGATTTGTGATCACCTATAACAAGACGACCAGTGTGTTCTTTCTATAAGAAAGGTGGAAAATGTGTTGGAATTTAAGATTACTAGTTTAATATGATTATTGAATATACTACTATATACTATTCTAGCTTTCCATGATATAGTGAAGACAAAGAAATAAATTAAGATCCTTGCCTTTGTGGGGCTTACATTCTACTAGCGCAAGAGTAAGGATGGGAAAGGGAGATAGACCGATGCAACAAATTAGTAAATTATTAATGTATTAATGTATTAAGTGCCACTAAAACAGAATACAGTGATAGAAGTATGAAGGTGGGATAGAGATCAGACTAGAATTTTAAATAGGATAGATTCAGTATAACCATTTTCTTCGTTAAAACTCCAGTTGATATTTAAACTAATCAATGATTCAGTATGCTGCTTCTTAGATTGCAAAAGGTACACCATTAACAAGATCTGATTATAAATACAATGACATCAAGTTATTCTAGGATGATGGTACTATGCACTAGTCATACTTTATCAGCTGGTTCTTCCGATGACCAGTAAAGTATTCATGCTGGCTGGTTAGAATTAGTAATATATTTTGTGGTTACCTAACAGAATAAACTCAGATTATATGAAGATCAAAGCCAAAATATTGGCTTGTTCACCAAATACTTTTTTAAAATTTGTTTTGGTACTAATTGAACTCTAGGTCTTGAACAGTTATATAACCCTAACCTATTACTTATACAGCTTTAGCAAATCTCTTACTTAAACCAGGAGTGGGGAATCTTACTTCTGCCAAGGGCCATTTGGATATTTATAACACAATTTGAAGACCATATAAAGTTATCAATAAAAGCTAGATGCAGGTAGCTCATGCCTATAATCCTATTTAGGAGGCTGAGATTCAAGAATAGGAAGAAAGGCTGAGCAACTTTTACCTCCAATTAATCAGCAAAAATACAAAAGTGGAAATGTGGTTTAAGTGGTAGAGCACAAACCATGAACAAAAGTATGAGGCTGGTCAGGCCCCATCTGAAACCCACACACTTCTTCCTCTGGCAGCTGATGGGATGTATTAGTGTCCTATGAAGTGCCAAATGATTTCAAAGGCCTTATATGGCCTGTGTGCTGAACATTCCCCACTCCTGATTTGTCTACTTTCTTTTTTTTTTTTTTTTGGTCAGTTGTGGGGCTTGAATTCTGGGCCTGGGCGCTGTCCCTCAGCTCTTCAGCTCAAGGCTAGCGCTATACCACTTGAGCCACAGTGCCACTTCCGGCTTTTTTCTGCCTATGTGGTGCTGAGGAATGGAACCCAGGGCCTCATGCATGCAGGGCAAGTGCTCTACCACTGAGCCACCTTCCCAGCCCTTGTCTACTTTCTATGACACATTACAAGTTATCGAGAAATACAGATTGATGAGATGCTATACAAATACCTCTAAGTATTTTTTATGACCTCTCCCTACTACGGGCCTCACTGTTATAGTATAGTTAAATGTCTCTTCAGATTCAAACCAATTCTTTCTGGAAAAGTTTCTTTCACTGCTGAGCCAGAAACAGCTGTCCTTCTGTTAGTCCTTATCATTGTGTGCATAGTAACTGCAATTTTATTGAGTTTATCCAGTTCTCTCCACTGCCTGATTCCAATTATTAATATATGTGATCTCTAGGACCTAATACAGAGTCTGGCATATAGTAGATAAGTAAAATGAATTCCCATAAATAACAAAGGGCACAATTTCATTTTAAAGTGCTCAAAAAAGAAAAGTTTTCTATTTTTTTTTTTCAAGTTTGGATGTATGTAGAAAGACAACTTAGGTGAAAGTAAGTTTACTTCAAAAAGTGTCTACTAGAGATCATGGCATCTCTATACTTTGTTTTATTAAGCTGAGAAGCAGTTCAAAATATATAAAAAAATTAAAGTTAAGTATTACTATCACCTCAAGGTCTGGAGAGAGTTATGAAATACAACAGATTTATTTAGTTGGACAGAGATTCCTTTAAGATAACTTGCCAAGAAATACCCTTTAGCAAAATCAAATAAAGCAAACCAAAAACTTTCACATTTCCTTTTCCTTTGGATTGAGTGTCTTCACATCAAAATTTTCTCCTTGTAGCCTCCAAACTTATTGCTATAAGCACAGGGAATTCTAGATGTGGTTCAGAAATAGTATAAAATTAAGTATTTCCGGGGCTGGGAAGGTGGCTCAGTGGTAGAGCGCTTGCCTTGCATGCTCAAGGCCCTGGGTTCGATTCCTCAGCACCACATAAGCAAAAAGAAAAAAGCCGGAAGTGGTGCTGTGGCTCAAGTGGTAGAGCGCTAGCCTTGAACTGAAGAGCTGAGGGACAGCACCCAGGCCCAGAGTTCAGGCCCTATGACCAGACCCCCCCCGAAAAAAAAAGAAATGCTTTAAAAAAAATTAAGTATTTCCTAAAGCCAAAAATAATTATGCAAGCTAGGTACCCATGGCTCATGTCTAGAAAAACTTGGTAGTTAGAAGGCTGAAATCTGGAGGGTCAAAGTTCAAAGAAGAAAAGTCCATGGGACTCCATTTCCAAAATAACCAGCAAAAAGCAGGGCAGGAAGCATGTTTCAAGTAGAGTACCAGATGAGCAAACCCAACAAGATCAAGACTGATTTTAAATCCCAGTATGGGGGCGGGGGGAACCATGCAGTACAAGAAATTTGATAAATGTGCTTAGTTCTCACTTAAAAAATAGCATTATATGTATACCCAATGATGCTTACCTTTCCTGCACCCATAAGTCTCAAGAACTTTTGTTTTCTTTCTTCATTACCCAGGTCTGCTGCCTCCCAATTGCTAGATCCAAGCTGGAGGAGAGAAAAGTTGATTAGTCTATCTTTAAGGATTTTTTTCAACCTGTTGTTATGACTGTTAATGGGTTCATTGTTCTTGTTTAAGAAGTTAAATAGGAATCACATTTGAATTCAAATATACTCCTTTTTGTTACTTCATAGCAGAATACTTTTAATCTAAAAGGCTGCGTGTATCAGAATCACCCAGAGATTTGTTAAGATAAAGTTTTATACCTCTGAGTTTCAGATTCACTGGGTATGGATGGAGTAGGGTTCCAAGTTATGAATGTCTAAAACTTTCCTAGGTAATGCTGATGCTCTCAAGTGGATACTTACACTTTGATATCTTTTGTCCTGAGTCTTGAAGGGGCCTAATCACTAGGACCAGAAAGTTGCCACAACTGCTAACTGAAACACATGAAATTCTAAGGGACCACATTATCAGAAGGCACTAGACCCAAATTAAAATTTTTGGTTTGTTTTGAGCATTTTAATTATTTGTTAGGAGTGAGACATTAAGATTTTTAATCAACCTCAAAGGTTCTCCAAAAGTCAAATAACTGGCTCTGTTAAAAAGCATGAGACCCTATCTAAAAAATAATCCAAAAGCAAAAAGGGTTGGGGGTATGGTTCAAATGGCAGAGTGCCTCCCTATCAAGTACAAGGCTCTGAGTTCAAACTCCAGCACTGCTAAAAAAAATAAAATTAAAGAAATATACTATTCTCATCAGAAAGTCATTCAATAGGAAAGGTTTTTATCATGTAATATTCTGCAGTAATAGTTGGGCCCACCTCCCATTTTTATAAAAGGATATGGGACTTTAATCGTTTATGTTGGTGCATCAAAATTTACTTGATTCAATTTGTACATGGAGAAAGACTGAAGGCAGGTTATGTCTGTATAGAAAGGTGAAGGAGAAAAACATGATACAGAAATGAATACACCCATCAGATTGATCATTCTAATTGAGTTTATCTGAAAATGCAAATGTTTTGTAATTATGGATCAAAGATGATAAACCCCTCTTCAACACAAACTTTTAAGTAATCAAAAGTTTCAAATCTCTTCATGTATAATGAAAGGACTACAGGTAATGATAAAGCTAAAACCTATTAGAAATAGATATAAAATTTTTAATTATATGTTGCAGGTTCTTACACATGACAGCTAATGGTAATCAGCTGTATTCAGAGAATGAGTTATATATACCATTAAAATCAGAAAAATGTAAAGTAGAAATTTGGGGTTGCTATTGTTAAATCTATATTAAAGTTCCCAAAAAGTCATTTTTATTATCCCTTTATTTTTCTAAACATTATTTATAAAAGACTATGAGTTTAATGGTATATATCTATAATCCCAGCACTTGAAAGGCTTGGGAAACTGAAAGTTAAAGGCCAACCTGAGCCATACAATAAGTAACACTGAATAATAAGTAACACTGAACTGCTCTCAGAATGGGGAGAAGGGCTTAAAGCATCTGTACCACTTGTAGATTTAATTCTTTTTTCTGCAGGGGATATGTTCTCGTAATTTTAGCTACTAAATTACAAATTTCTACTTTGACTGTGACAACTCATATCCTTTTTATAGGACATTTAGTCTTAACCATTTCTCAATACAATAATAAATACTAAACTTTTTTTTTGTTGGCCGTGGGCTTGAACTCTGGGCCTGGGCGCTGTCACTCAGTCCTTCAGCTCAAGGCTAGCACTCTACCACTTGAGCCACAGCGCCAATTCCAATAATAAATATTAGTAACACACTTTAGTTCTGATTCTCACTAAATCATTTGCTGTGAGCCCAGAATTGACTTAATTAAAATTTAGTGTTAATTCTTTACCTACAAAGACAGTTTCCTTATTCCACATATGACCTGATGTGTCGGGTCAGTCAAGTGAGGTGCACTAAAATATTATATAAAATTATCTAGACTAGATTCTATCCCCAAGATAGCTTACTGTGTACAAGCAAATAGCTCAAAATACTACAAATTCTGAAGTACTTCTGGTTTCAACTATATAGGATTCTTTGCTTGGAGTGTTTTACAAGTTACAATGAGTTTTTACTTACATTTTTTTAAAGAGTGTCTCACAACAGTCTATTTTGATAAATAAGTAAGCAGGTGACCTGTGTATAGGATTCTTAGCTTGGAGTGTTTTACAAGTTACAAATGATTTTTTACTTACATCTTTTTTAGAGCATCTCACAACAGTCTATTTTGATAAATAAGGAGGCAGGTGACCTGCTTGAAGTCTGCTTTTTTTCATACCATACTATAAATGAACAAATTAGAAGTGTGTAGTCTATGAACTAGTTATAGAAATGATTGAGAAGTTAAAACCCAACTTTCCTGATTTTTTTTTCCCTTTCTACATTCTTGCCTTCCTCCCCAGCTCCCCCCTCCCTCCAACATTTCTTTGGTTTGGGTTTCAATAGTTTTATTACATAGCTTTGGCTGGCCTCAAATTTACAATCCTCCTGCCTCAGTTACCAAATGCTGGGATTACCACCACATTCATGATTAAATGGACAAACATAGGCTAGGGATATAGCTTAGTAGTAAGAGTGTAGCTTCAGCATTCAGGAGGTCTTAATGGCTGACACATTATTAGAGGTTCCCTACAAGCTACTAAAACAAATTTTCTCACTCTCTATAAAATAGCTTTCATTTCTCCACTCCAACCAAACCAACAAAACCATCGTTTTCTTCATTCTTAAAAATCCTTTGCCATAGGACTGCAATCTCCCTTTTGCCTCCTTAATACATTTCCTAGTGACTGTTTTAGAATTTACTTCTAGCTGGGTGCTGGTGGCTCACACCTGTAATTCGAGCTATTCAGGAGGCTGAGATCTGAGGATCATGATTTGAAGCCAGAGTAGGCAGGAAAAGTCCATGAAACTCTTATCTCTGATTAAGCACCAAAAAACAACAACAAAAAAAAACAAAGTGGAGCTATGGATTTAGTGGTAGCACGCCAGCCTTGAGCAGCAGCTTAGGGACAGTGCCAGGGCCCTGAATTCAAGCTCTAGGACAGGCATCAAAAAAACAAAAACAAACAAACCATGACTTAAAACAAAACACAAGTAGAGACAACTCTCACTTATCAGTAAAAATAAAATTCTACAAAAGAAACATAAATCACCAATATTATAGTCATTTTGTTTTAGGTGTGTGTGTGTATGTGTGTGTGTGCGCGCGTGCCCGCTGTTACTAGGGCTTGAAATCAGTTTTGGCTCAGGCTGGTGGTACTCTACTACTTGAGCCACAGCTCCGTGTCTAGCTTTTTAGTAGTTAATTGGAAATAAGTCCCAGGGGCCTTCCTACCCTGGCTGGTTTGAACCACAATTCTCAGATCTTAGCTTTTTTGGTGGTGGTGGTGCAGGTTTTGGGGCTTAAACTCAGAACCTGAATGCTGGCCCTGAGTTTTTGTGCTCAAGGCTAGCCCTCCACCACTTGAGTGACAGCTCATTTCCACAAATTGGTAGTTGGAGATAAGAGTGTGAGGAACTTAACTGCTTGGGCTGGCTTCCAATAGAGATCCTCACATCTCAGCCTCTTGAGTAACTAGGATTACAGGTAAGAGCCACTGGTGTCCAGCCTAAGGTCCCAGGTTTTAATCTTCATTTTCAAGTATAAATGCTTTCTTTTGGGACAGGGAAAGGTATTAAAGGCCATCTAATTTAAATTGATTTCATCAGAAGCTGTGGAGACTTAGTCACTTAATCCCTTTGCATAATATCACCTGGAGGTTTTGGCCAATCTCAAAGATTTTGGAGACCAACAAAACAGGTGTCTGATTTAACGCCTACAAAATCAGGTAAGTATCAGGAAGAAAACAATAGCTTTTTAAATCGATCTAAAACTTAGGCTACTCAAAACAAAAACAAAACGGATAAGGTCCTTAAAAATACTGAATTACCATGCCAACAGGAGATTTAAAATGTCAGTTGCTGGGAGATTCGGAAGCAAGAATAAGCCTCAGAAAATAGCCGCCGGTCCCAAACCTTTACGACTAATCTTTCTGCAGAGCTAAAAATAAATTTCCTTAAAGAAACCCCACCCCACCTACCATCCAAAAAGGAGGTCTTCACCACCACCTCATCAAATAGTTCGGTGAGCGTTCTATGATTCACGAAGATATTCAGAAAGGCCTTGAGTGCATACAATTTAGAGATTGAGAGTGCTTTAAACAAATGAAAGTAAACTAGATATCCTTTCGTGAATCTTAAGGACGATCTCCTCCACACCCCCTTCCATATTTGCCGGGCGCTATTCCATCACGTTACCGGGTGGGTCCGGATTTACGTGTGCTGGCTACCTGCAGTTTCCGACACTGTCGCTAGCGCTGGGGCAAACAACACGAAAACGCCTAACATAAAGCATCGTACTTATTCATCTTTTGAATTCCTGACACCAGGCACAGCCGTCAATATTTAACAGGTTGCGTTCCAGGGCGGTTTGTTACTTTAAAAACTGTTAAGCTGAAGGTTTGGGAGGAAAGGCGTGGGAAGAACACGGCTGCCAGGTCTCCCCGCCTAGGGCCCTTCGCCGTGATGCCATGACCAAATGATGACACGCATACGCCAATGTTTCGGTTCTACAGCATCCTCACTTTCATCTACTACTAGTCACAGGACACTGAAAAATAACCCCGGCCTCGGGGTTCAAGTGTGAACGAACGCCACGGCCTAGGGCCATTTAATTAAACCGAAAACAGCAAGGGTCTCGCTGCCTCTGCGGGCCTGGGTTGAAAAACCTAACAAATTAGCGTCATCTGCAAGTAAGACGACCCCGAACTCCCGCTATCTCACTGCGCAGCCGCTCCCCAGATGGGCTAACTACGTCCCCCGACCGCAGCGAGCCGCGGGCGCTCAGCGTGGGGCCGACCCAGATTAGGTCTGGGAAACATTTCCCAGTCCTTCTTCTGGGCTCACCCCCGTCAGAGCCTCCCCGGGCGCTTCCTCCTCCTCTTCCACCCAGCCCGGCCTACCCGGGCCTACGGTAGGCCTCAACCCTCACCCACTCCGCCATTGTTATTTACATCGTCGTCCGGGGAGGCTGAACGCTTCACCCCATGCGGGTGAGATTCTCTGGCGGCACTCATCGTGGCGGGGGATCCTGATGAGGAAAAGGCCGAACACAGTCGCTGGTTCTTCTCAGCTGGTCACCCAGTAGTCCGCAACCTGCCACCGGCCTTAGCAGCACCACTCCAGAACGCAGAGCTCCTCTGGGCCTTCTCCGCCACAGTCGTCACCGCTACGGCCGCTCGCCACCACGTGGCACTCTGGGAGTTGTAGTTTTCCGAGCCACTTTACACTGACCTGAATAAGGGCGATAGATGAAGACGAAAACTACAATTTCCAGAAGGCCGAGCGGCGTACCTCGCGCCGTGTGGCGGGAGTGCCCTCAGAGGCTACGCCTTCCTCGGCTTGTGAAGGCAGCTTTCGCGTGGCCCGGTGTGGTGGCGAGCGTTGATGAGGAGCGAGTTTCGTCGCAGCGGAAAGTCTTTTTCAGAGTGGGTTTTCATATGTTACCGTGAGACTCTGCTCCGCTGGCAAGCGCTTCCGTAACAGTTGAACACCTAGAGGTTTAAGTGAGACTTTGGAAACGAGTACACTTTGCTCAGCGCCAAAGCATTTAAAAAATGGCCTCTTATCCCCACCCTGTTCGGGATTTCTAGAAGGTTCTAATGGATTTCTTGTCATTCTTTCATGCTGAGGGAAGTGACTTCAATATGGTGTCAAATGCTGGTTAGTTGGCTAGTTTTGGGATTGGGGGTCCTCCTTGAGCTCTGGGCCCCAGCTGGCGAGGAGATGGTACTGTGGGACCCTTCACCAGACCTAGTCTGTGCCTGCCACAAAACCCCGTTCTGTTACTTAGTTTACAAAGACAAAATTGCAGTACGGTTCACCTAGAAGGACCCGGTGAAAGTGGACAACGCAGTGGCTCTTAATCCATTCACAGCCTGCGGCCTTCGCGTCTGTTGAGTTTACAAGGCTTTGCACACAAAAGCTGGTACCCCAGTTCTCAGTTGCTGGTTCTTTCCATTTCCTTCTTAGGTTCCTCCTCCTCAACACCACAGTCACTAGACCACTTACAAAACCCTGTACTTTAAAGGTAGTTTTCAGATTTTGCAACCTTAAGGGTCTGGGTCTTTTTGCTTTGCTTTTCTTTTTCTCCTAGAACTGGGTTTGAAGTCAAGAGTCTTGCTGGCTGGATCTCTATCACTTGAGTTGTCTTTAGCCTGGCTTTTTGCTGGCTGTTTGGAGGTAGAGTCACAAAGATTTTTTTCTGTCCAGGCCCACTTTGAACCTCAATCCTTCAGATTTCAGCTTCCTGATTACAGGCATGAGCCACTGGCACCCAGCTATCACTTTTGCTATATTTTTGATTATCAGCCTATGACAGCGACTCTCCTACCTATTCTTCCTGATTAATGGCATTACAGGTTTGTATTATTCTAGTCTCAGTTTTTAACCAGACGAATCTAGCATTCAGTATTGTTTGTCCTTATTTATTCAGAGACTTTGTGATTAAGGTTAGGAAATGAATTATTTCATTATTTCATACTGAGGGAAGGGTGGGTCAGGAAAGTGGTGAGACTCTTATCTCCAATAAATTACCAAAAAAAAAAAAAAGCTGGAAGTAGAGCCTGGGGCTCAAGAAGCTCAGGGACAGCACCCAGACTCTGAGTTCAAATCCCAGGACTAGCAAAGAAAGAAAATAAAACCTCAACCATTTTAAAACAAAAATAAGTAGAATGATATACCATTCCCACCTTAATTTGTGTTGTCTATTTCCCTTTTGGGATTTCTATGTTCTGATGATTTTCTTGCCATTTTCACATACTTAATGTTCCATACTGAGAGCAGACTGTGAAGGTTTATTAGCTTTTGTGCTCTGCAGTTGTTGTAGTTTGCCTTTATAGAAATACTTGTACTATTATGGATTTCAGATGATTGCCGAACCATTTATAGAATTTTGTCCAATGCAAGATAGTACTTTAATTTGTGAAGTCATAAATTCAGATTATGTTGGAAGAATAGTATAAGTAATATAAGCAAGGACACCTGAGACAAGAATAAAGGTAAGAAAGGACCAAACTCATTAAGCTAAAAAGCATTTTTTGGAAATGATTACTTATCATTTGCTGAAATTAAAATATTTTACCTGTTTGTAATTCTGCTAAGATTTCTGTAAATGTAATGACAATGAAGTATTCAAGTGTTCGAGTTTTGTGAGATCGACTATAGTTCACCTCAAACTCATTCAGTGATCATAAACACAATCAGAAAACTATATTACCAATAAAACAAAATTGCTCAATATATACTTTTATGCTACTAAAAGAATTCTGAAATTAAAAACGACCATCAGTAAAGTCAGATTATTAAATATTCAGTTTACTGGTTGATAAAAGTTCAGACAGTTTTAATGAGTTAGCAATATGTCTTTTATTTCTTCACCAGAATTGTTGGCAGCTAGATGGCTGTATCTTCACGTCACCATGAAACAAGATCACCAGCCAAAAAGTAACAGGAACTGTAAAGACTATCATTTGATCAGATTTTACACAGTTTTATATTCAGAAAGATTTAGGTAAGCATGAAATTATATAGTATAATCAGAAATATGTGACACAAATTCAGTGGTGCTCTTCCTCTATACTTGGTCACAAGTAGAACTATTAAATATTATGAAATTGAATACTGAGTTACTGGTTAGGGAAATGCTAAATGTTTAGGAACAAACCCTCAAGGGATTATTCATGTATACTTGCTTTTAAAGAAACATCTGTCTTCTCAAACATTATTTTTTTGTGTGTAAAATCATTAAAAATCATTTCCTTTTAGCTTTATATATATATATATATATATAGTATGTAATTATATACATAGTCAATATACTGTGTATATATGTTTAACTTGGTACAATTGATCAATCATTCCCTATTTCTTACTCCTCCTACCTATTCTTCCCTGCCTCTGGTAACTACCATTCTACCATTAATGTCTGTGAGATCAACTGTTTAATATTTTATATACATCTGAAATCACGCAGTTCTTGTCTTTCTGTGCCTGGCTTATTTCACTTAACATAGTAATTTCCTGTTCTATCCATGTTGGCACAAATGACAGGATTTAATTCTTTGTATGACTAAGTAGTAGTATCCCATTGTATATATTTATATCCCATGTATATATATAAATATAAATACCATATATACATATACAAGGTAGTCAATATATATGTACCATATATACATATAAATCACATTTATCCATTTTTGTATTGAGAGCTGGGAAGGTAGAGTGCTTGCCTAGCACACATGAAGCCCTGGGTTCGATTCCTCAGCACCACATAAGCAGAAAAAGCCAGAAGTGGCACTGTGGCTTGAGTGGTAGAGTACTAGTCTTGTGCAAAAGAAGCTCAGGGGCAGAGCCCAGGCCCTGAGTTCAAGCCCCAGAACTGGCAAAAAAAAAATGTAATCAATTCTCCACATTTGTATATTGATTAATATTTAGGTTGTTTCAATTTCTTTGCTGTTCTGATCAATGCTTCATTTAACAAGAGTAGAGATGATTGTCAGCATATTGATATTCTTTCCTGTGTATACATACCCAGATGGAGGATTGGTGGATTACATGATAGATGTTTTTAATTTTCTGAAGAAGCTCCATAATGTTTTCCCTAATAGCTGTATGACTTTATATTCTCAACAATGAAGAGGAGTTTCCTATTCTTTAGATCCTGATCAACACTTACCTTTTGTCTTTTTGATAGTAGCCATTTCTACTAGGTTAAGGTGATATGTTTCTTTTCTCTAGCGGTTAATGATGGACTTGTTGTTCATTTCTATATCTTCTTTTGAGAAATGTCTTGAAGGCCTGTTATGGTTTGGATAAGAAGTGACCCACATAAGGCTCATGTGTTGAAGGCTTGGTTACCACTGCCAGCAGTATTCAGCGGTGGGGCTTTTGGAAAGTGAATTGTGAGGTCTCAGCCCTCATAAATGGATTAATGCATTGACAGAATCACAACTTGAATAAACCATTGAGAGGTGGTAGAACTGTGGAAGGAAAAGCATAGTTGAGAGAAATGGGTTACTAAGGGTATGTACTTTGTGCCTGACTCCTTTTTATCTTGTGCTTTTGTGTCCTGGCTGCCATGAAGTGAGTAGCATCTGCTATAGGTTTCCTCAACACAGGCCCAAAGCAGTGGATCCCAGCCGACTGTGGACTGAACCCTCTGAGGATGTGAGCCAAAATAAATCTTTCCTCCCTTTAAGTAATTTTCTGAAGTGCTTTATCACAACAACAAAAGTCTGAGCAATATACAAAATTGGTTACCAGAGAAGTAGGATTGTTGCTGTGACCAAACTTGATCATGTGGTTCAGAATTCTTTGGAAAATAGTTTGTATGAGGGATTTAGTAAAGTTTGGAGATGTAGACACAGAAAGGATAGAATGCTCTAAATTTAGTGTAATGAGCAATTCTGGTGAGAGAAGACCAGAATGCTAACAGAAATGTGGACAGAAAAGATGGTGCTCATGAGGTTTCAGATGGATATAGAGACTCTTGGGAATTGGACTAGAGGCCACAGTGTTGGGTTCTAGCAGCCTCTGCCATGTGCTGGGCCTAGCAGCCATATTTGGCCTCACTTTAGGCCAAAAGCAGGGAATTCCAGCCGAGCATGGACTGAACTCTTTGAAGCTGTGAGCTAAAATTTTTCTTCCTTTTAAATTAAGTGTTTGTCACAGTAAGTGACAAGACATTTAATAAGACAAGGTTTATTTTTTACTTAAATTTTACTTTTTTTCTGTTGAGTTTTGGAATCATGTATTGTGGATGTTAAACCCTTGTCAGAGGTGGCAAGTATTTTCTCCGATTCTTTTGTCCTTTTGTTGATTTTTAACTATGCTATTTTACAACCATATAGATAAAAGTTAAATTTTAGAAAGATTGAAAATTATTTAAGTGCTTTCTGCCTATAACAGTATAAGTTTTTTCTATTCTTTGCAATGTAAGTGGATTTTTTTTCCAGTATGGAATTCTATAGTGAATTTGGTTTTAATTTCTTACCACTTTCCTTATTAGTAAGTTAAATAATATATTTGACACTTATCATTTTAACTCATATTCTTTTTATATTTCTGTAAGATTCGTGAGTTCCCAATTTAAATTGTCTACTTATATAATACATTGATAAATGTAAGTAGACATACATATTTAAAAGTATATGATGTGCTGAAAAATAATA